TGTCGGAGCCTCTGATGCTTGCTATTCAGTCTTTTAATCCTTTGCGCCAAAATGAACCTGAGCCACAAGAATGCCTTGACCCCATGTCTCGGGAACGAATGCTATGATATGCGAAAAATGCAAAATGCAAAGAAACAAAAGCCAGTTGCTGCCAAAACGGAAAGGCAAATTTTGGGGTGCTACAGGTTGTTACTGCTCTTTATGGGAACTTAAATTGTTCAAGTTTTTATTTTGTGTTTTTGGTTTTCTCCTTCAAGGGGAGTACTGTTTATGTGTGACAGGGGGAGTGGTGTAACTGTCTGTGTTGTTGGTGTAAGATTGTAGTTTGTACAAAGCTTAGACGTTCTCGTGTAGCTTATGTTGGTTCGTGGTGTCTGACCTAATGTCTTGACATTCCACTTGTGTATCTTTGATGTGTGCTAAGGTTGTTTTAGCTAAAATTTTCCAAAAGGGAAGATTGTAAGTCATGTGGTTTTTGGATTGGGTGCATTTTGCTAAAACAACACATTGTTAGCAAGATGTTGAACCAAATGTTCTGCCATGTCAGTCAGACATCATGTTCTACATGATATTGTGACATGTTCCAGGACATGTTATACCAGATAGTTAGGGCATGACCATTTGATAATTTTAGTGTATTCTAATGCACACGTGAGTGATTTTTATGTGAGTATATTGTGAAAATTTCTGTTATTGCATATTTTGTTACTTTTTCATAAAAAGGATCCTTGAACCTTTTTAGAAAAGTTTGTATTTTTCTCCTATTATTATGTAGGTTAATTTGCAGCCAATTTATACTGTTTTCTACTTTTTGTGCGCCTCAAGAAGCCCAAGTCCAGTAGGTCTAAAGGTTATTTAAAGAGAAGAAAAATCATATTAGAAGAAGATAACATATCGTGAAAAATTTTAGAGAAATAGGATTAGACGTTGTTTTGGTTGGTCCCTAGGATTTTCTATTTGTTAATTGTATGTCACTCATGTATCTTTTGATGTACTGAGGTTGACTGATTATTCATTGTCACTCTAAAGCTTTTAAGCAAGAGTCTATTGTTCTTTATTGAAGCTTTTAAGAAAGATCAATTATTGTTTTGTGATCTTCTGTTTTGTTTGGGTGTTCTGTATACAATCACTGGGATTATGATTGTTTGAAATCACTGAGGTGATTTGGGAGTGAGATGGGTTCTCATATCTAGGAGTTCTTAGGTAGAAGTTGCATTGGATAGGGATTAAGTGAGGAGTTGTAAATTGGGAGTGTTTAACTTCGAATTAATACTATTGATAATGAATTTCCTTCCTGACTTGGTAGCCCCCAAACGTAGGTGAGTTGCACCGAACTGGGCTAACAACTTTGGTGTTATTTATTTTCTGCAATTTACATTTTTTAGTTGTTGTGTGTTCAAGCTGTATTTTGATCCTAGTGTTGTGACATCTGGTATTTGCGTGCCAGAATTTCACTGATTATGAGGAAAGATGGCAAGAGGTCAGTAATTTTCAGTGTGTTGCACATACCAGGCATGAAGAGTAATTTGCTTAGTATAGGGCAGATGGTCGAAAAGAATTACAAGGTGTCGATAAAAAACAAGATGATGAGAGTTCTCGACTCAGGTGGTAGGTTAATCTTGAAGGCTCTAGTGTCTCATAATAGAACCATCAAAATTGAACTTAATGTGATGAAGCATAAATGCCTTACAACTGCAGCCAACAGAGATGAATGAATATGGCATTATCGACTTGGCCATCTCAACTTCAAAGTCATAAGAGATTTAAAGAGAAGAAATATGGTTTCAGGATTACTAGAAATCGATATTCCAAGCGAAGTGTGTGAAGAATGTGTTCAGGAGAAACAATGCAAGAATAACTTCAGTAAGGATGCAGGAAGCAAGTTGAAGGTAACTCTCGAAGTCACATATTATGATGTATGTGGTCCTATCCAGGTTGATTCGATTGGAGGTAACAAATACTTTGTCACATTCATAGATGATTTCAGTCAAAAACTATGGACTTACCTGATCAAGAAGAAAAATGAAGTGATCGAGGTATTTACCAAATTCAAATCTATGGTCGAAATCCAAAGTGGTAGAAAGCTAAAGATTCTGAGGACTCGTGGTGGTAGATAGTATGTGTCGAAAGATTTCGATGCATTATATGTGAAAGAAGGAATTATGCATGAGTTGGTGCCACCTTACACTACACAGCAGAAAGAAATAATAAAACCATCATGAACATGGTGAGAAGTATGTTGAAAGGCAAACATCTAGCCAAAGAATTATGGAGAGAAGTTATGTCGACTGCAACATACATCTTGAATATATGTCCAACGAAGAAGCTAGAAGGAATCACGCCAGAAGAACGTTAGTCTGGTGTTAAGCCTAGCCTAAGTCATTTGAAAGTGTTTGGATCTATAACGCACGCACATATGCCAGATTAGTTGAGAAGAAAGCTTGATGACAAGTTGAGTCAAATGATCCTAATAGGATATCGTTCTATTGAAGGATACAAGTTATTCGACCCAGTGGGCAAGCAAGTTGTGATCAGCAGGGACGTGATCATAGATGAACTTGAGGAATGAGATTGGACTGAGAATGTCAAGAAGGATTAAGTGAGAATCTTATGCGAAGAACCAACTAGTGAAGTCGAAAGAGAAACTCGACAAGAAGAAGTCAGAGGTAAAGTAGGCCCAAGCAGACCTCAACGAACAAGACAAATGCCTACAAGGTTGCAAGAATGTGTGATTACATCAGATAATATGGTCAATGAAGAAGGTGAGTTAGTACACTATGCTTTCTATGCATATGTTGAACTAGTCAATGCAATTGAGGCGTTGAAAGATTTGAAGTGGGTCAAAGTAATGAATGAGGCGTTAGAGTCCATCGAAGTCAACAATACCTAGTCACTTGTCAAATTTCCTCAAGGCAAGAAGGCAATTGATGTGAAATGGGTTTACAAGGTGAAGATGAATCCTAAATGAGAAGTAACTCGACGCAAGGTAAGAATTGTAAGAAAAGAATTTCTTCAGAAAGAAGGAATCGACTTCGACGAAGTTTTTGCACCTGTTACTAGGATCGAAACAATCAGGTTAGTTGTTGGTCTAACAAACATGAAAATTTGGCACACATGTCAGATGGATGTGAAATGTGCATTCCTGAATGACCCCTTAGACAAAGAAGTTTGTGTTGCACAATTAACTGCATAAAGCTCTGTATGGACTTAAGCAAACTTCAAGAGATTGGAATAAGAAGATATATAACTTTCTGAGGGAGAAGGAATTTATGAAGTGCATGAATGAACATGAAATGTATGTAAGGAGAAGCAATAATTAATTGCTTATACTATGTCTCTATGTCGATGACTTGTTAATAACAGGAAATTGCAAGAAGGAGATCAAAGATTTCAAACATGACCTAAGTGAGGAGTTTGAAATGTCAGACTTGGGAAATCTCTCATATTTTCTCGACATCAAATTCTACAAAAGTGGTTGAGGTTTCATGATGCACCAAAGAAGATACGCATGCGAAATATCAAGAGATTTGAGATGCAAGACTGTAATCCAACTTCGACTTCAGCTGAGACCATATTGCAATTGTCGAAAGAGTCATATGAAGACGAGGTTGACCCAACCCAATATAGAAGATTTATTGAGTCACTTTGATACCTTTGTCACACAAGGCCCGACTTAGCATACAATGTGGGTATGGTAAGTAGATTCATGCAGAAGTCAGATGCATCACACCTAGCAGTGACGAAGAGGATACTAAAGCATCTGAAAGGAACTCTTGACTACAATATTTTGTTTCCTGCAGCTGATTAAGGAAAAGAATGCAAGATAATGGGAAACACTGATTCAAGTCGGTGTAGTGATGTTGAGGATAAAAAATTCACAGCTGGCTATGTGTTTATGCTAGATGGTGCACCAGTTGCTTGAAGTTTAAGAAAGGAGGCAGTAATAACATTGTTTTCATGCGAAGCAGAATACATAGATGATTCTATTTGTGCATGTCAAGCAACATGGATGGTGAACCCGGTTGAAAAGATTACAACGAATAGTCATGGAGCAATTACCATGAAGATCGACAACATGTCAGCTATCAATTTGGCGAAGAATCCAATAGCACATGGACGAAGCAAGCACATAAAAAGGAGGTTCTATTATCTTCGAGCAGGTAGCAGAATGGGAATATGAATTTGGAACATTGTAGAACTGAGAATCAGATTGCAGATATCATGACGAAAAGGGTGCAAGTCGAAGTGTTCAAGAAACAGAGGTAAATGACGAATGTAGATAACTTAGACACAATGAATTAAGTATTGTATTGAGTTTGTAATTCCTTGTGTCGAAGCAGTGTAGCTCGACAGAAACAATGACTAGTCGAATTAGCTTAACGTGGATGTGGGTCGAGTTGTTTAGATGTCGAAGTGTCAAAACAATTTGCTTGACATATAATTTTGACTTAGACTAAAATTAGTAATTTTAGATTTTTTTTTCTATTATAAATAGAGAGAGTAACCCCTATTTTGTAATAATTTGTATTCACAGATTTTTGCAGTTGTAAAATGAATAAAAAAGTTATTCACAGTTTGTGGACGAAGATTCCACAATTAAAAAATCATTCTCTCTTTCTTGTTATGGAATGTGTTGAGTATATCCAAAAATAAATTGGTTCAAATAATTTATAGATTAGTTCGGTTTGAGTCAGCGAATTTATTTGTCAACCGACATCTATGGACATCGTATTTATTTTGTAAAGTAGTACATTTATTAAAATAAATAAATATTTTTTTTGAAAAGGGTATGATTGTAATTATATGACCTAAAACCGGTTGCGATAGAACGATATTCCGCGAAGATGCGGCAGAGATACCATGAAACCCCACCATGCCGCTAAAACAAAACAAACAAAAATACAATAAAATGTGTTTTCCATATAATTGGTAAAGTAGAATTAGAAGAAGCTGATAGATAGCAGCGGCCAACCCCAAACCCACTCTCTTCCAGAAATTTCATGTCCATCTTGCCCTCACAAACCCAACCGCCATCTTCGTCATCTTCGTCTTTACCAATTCCTAACCCTAATTCACAACATGGAATTTCAGATACTTCCTCTTCTCTTTCCCCTCAACTCAACCATGCTCTCGGATCTCTCCAGATCTCCGATTATCCAGGTTCCATTAAAGCTTTTCCCGTAATTTGGATTTGTTTTAGGGGCAGAGTACATTAATTGGTTTTATACTTTTTGTGGCTACGTTATGGTTGATCCCTTTTGGTATTCTAAATGCTGTGCGGGAGTAGGGTTCATCGTTTTTTGCGTGTAGAATTTGGGTACTGAATCAATGGAGAGGTTTTTTTTAGTATAAATTTGTGATTTTTTTGGGCGTGGTTTACGATTAGGTAGTTGAAAGGGCAGTATTTATTTATTTCTTATTATTTATTGAAATTTGAAAGGTGATTGATCATTGGAGTTAAAGAGTGTTTTTGAGTTAATCTCGAATGATTTTCTTTCTCTTTTAGATATTCTTTCTCTTTTAGATGTTAATAGTTCCAATGAATCATTCATTTTGTGGTGTATTTGGCAGGTCCATCAACTCCAGCTGCAGAAGATTCTGGTGGACCCTCCGAAAAGGTATTTTAAGTTTTTTTTTACTTCCCACCTGTATAGTCTGGATTGTTTATTTATCTATTGAGCTCATATAATTGTTACTGCACGTGTCTAATTTGAAATAGGACTGTGTCTGCATGTCAGTTTTGAAGAGACTTATGTCTTATGTTGATTAATTAACTTGTTTTCTAGAAGCTTAAAACTTGTTAGAAGTGTAGAACTGATATTGATTACATGTTGTGTGTATCTGTGTGATACTTTTGTTTTCTTTGCTTTTAGGTGACGGAATTAGAGTCTTCAAATGGTATGAAGGCACCTCAGCGAAACTCTAGATCTCATTCTAGGAGTCACTCAGGAAGACGAACGGCTGGGCTCTCCCATTCTGAGGGGATGACAACGGGAACAGTTTCTTCTCATAGAAATCAACAGGCTACTGGATCTGCATATTCTCAAGGAAGCACCCCTCTTGCAGGAAGGAAATCTCAGATGGCGAATGGCAATCACTTGCTCAACTTTCAGTATGATCCAATATCCCGTTCTCAACAAAGGGGTCCTCCCCCTCCCCCTCCAGCAAGAAGGCAGCGGAAGAGAAGACCATACAACAAAGATTTGTTTTTACAGGCAAATTTCAAATTCATGGTGCTAGATTCAGGAAATTATTCCCGTGAGTCAATGGATCCAGATAAAATGTTGCAGTGGGAAGATATTATATGTGTGACATATTCGACCCCTTCTCCAATTCAGTGTCCAATTTGTTTGGAGCATCCCCTGTGTCCCCAAATAACCTCATGTGGACACATTTTTTGTTTCCCATGTATTCTACAATACTTGTTGTTGGGTGAAGAAGATCACAAAGGTGATTGCTGGAAAAGGTGTCCGTTGTGCTTTGTGATGATATCTGTCAAGGACTTATATACAGTCCACATCACAAATGTCAAACAGTATCAAGTAGGGGATAATATTGAGTTCACTTTCTTAACAAGGAAGAAGGATTCATTTACTCTTTCGCATAAAAATAAACAAGAGACTGATAACTCATCTTATGGCCAAGGAGATGTATGTGACCCCTTTTCTAAGTTCACACTCACATTAGACGTAGATCTCTCAGTGAGACATGCAATATCAGATCTAGATGGTTGGCTGGCCAGAGCTGATTCAGGTCTAGTCGACGACCTGGAGAAGCTTCCATATGTTAGTGTTGCAATGCAACAACTAAAACAGAGAAAGAAGTATTGGAATGAGCACAAGGCTTCTTACAGTGAAAAATCTTCTATCCTCATTGATAATGCACTCCAGGTACCATCAGTATCTGCTAACGCTGTGGATACTGATGACGAAAGCTGTTCTAATGGATCAAGAACTTCCTCTACTGATTTCCCCGATCAAAGCAAGGTTGTAATATTGGATAAATCAATTGCTGGAGGCTCTCAGGATGAAACTTTGGAGCTGGAAAAGATACTAGTAGAGCAGGAAGTGAACTTGTCTTCTTCGTATGAGGAGAAAAAATGTATTCAAGGCCATTCAAATGGCATTGGAGATGCAAAGGAAAGTGACTCTTACAATTTTTATCAGGTAACTGATGTCATTTGATTTTTGTTGTATCTATCATACGTTTCTTACTTTTTATTTTCCTATTTGGATAGAGCAAATATGTTGTTACATTCATTATTATGTACATTATTCATATTAGGCACTATGGAGGAATTTGACATCATGTAAATTGCAAGACATATTCAGTTATGTACATTATTCATTATGTACATTATTCAGTTGGCCGGGATGTGTAGCTAGAGTAGAGGGAGACCAAGAAAAACTATAGGTTAGATTGTTAAGACTTGAGAGTAATTTAGAGTTAACTAATCTATCTTTAGACGAAATAAATGACAAGATTTTGTGGTGTTGATTGATCCTTGTGCCAAGCCCCAATTAGTAGAAAAAGCTTGGTTGCTGCTGCTGATACATGGGTAATCCCCTTGCCATCCTCTCTCTTTTTCATTCACCTCATTACGACTATTAAAAACTTTAAAAGAAAAGGTATGCTGAAGAAAGCGGGTTGCAATATGTTATTGCCAGCAGTAAATGAAGACTTATTGGTTGATGTTAAGAGTTCCACACCGGACAATATATGGCATGAACATGTGTTTATAAGTGGGGACAATCCTCACTCTACCAACCAATTTTGTAGGGTTGAGTTAGGTCCAACCACATTTCTTTACGGTTGATATTGGAGATGATTGATAATTTGTCTTTCTGATTTTAAAATCAGAAACAATTCTGGAAATGTTTCTCCTCCTAACTTTAGAAGGAATAAATATCGAATCTCAAAATGAGTCTCTAAACTGAAACTACTGAATTGGATCCTTCCATGTGCTATTTTTCACCAGTGATGGTAAGCTGCAGCCATGGTACTAGTAAAGCACGGCGGTTGTGATAAAACACCACTGTAAGCCGTGTCGTGGAAACTTTTAAATTGCTTCTACTATTTCCATGGTCGTCATGGTGCTCATAGCGCCGTCATCCTTTGATTTTCTTGTATCGAGTGATTGTTAATGACAATATTGTTACAGAGAGGTTTCTTAATTGTCAAAATATTGGTGAGGTTATGCTCACAGTCATTCCCAAGTTTTTAGTCATAAATTTAAAATTTGAGCTGGTTTTGATACTGCACTTATCTTTTTCATCAATGGCTTTAGTTTTGTTAATGTCAGTTTGCAGATGTGTCATGTTTGTTAAGATTGTCTGTTTATTTGTCATGCTGGTTGTATATGCCAGTTTTTTTTTTAGTTTTACTACTAACATGTTGATGTTGAATTTTATCGATTGACATCAAATTGTGTATATCATCCTTTGCCATTTAATCTTGTAATCCTTCACAGTTGCTATGTGTTACTTTCAGATTTATCAGACAATGCCTAATTGCTGCATGCATAAAAGCTTTCATTTTATATCCCATGTAGTTCATAACATTTTATTTGTTACTATGCTCATGTATTTTTTAGGCTGCTGATGGGCAACATCTAATTCTTCATCCTTTGAACACCAAGTGTTTACTGCACCATTATGGTAGCTATGATAAGCTCCCTCACAGGTTTGTAAAAGAAATCAAAATATATTTCTCATACGTGCTGATGGTCAAATTTGTTGGTTTGTATGCATAGGTTCTAGAGATTGTCATGTCTAGATTTTGGTTTATACTCACATGTGTCTGACAGTGTTGTTAATAGACTATTGCGGAAAATAGTGGATCACCAAAAAATCATATTAGAAATATCAGATAGCTTAGCGGGCAAATAGCAGAAGCCTCAAAGCGGTTAAAATAAATAGTTATATATAAAATAAAACATGCTAGACAAATAAAAGTTACATAAACAGATATTAAAAAATTGATTGACATTAAACTGAAATCCTCAAGTTAAAACGACTGAACAATGCTGCAGAAAGCTAAAAGCAAAAATAAAAAATGACTTAAAACTCAAAAGTGATAGTTCAAACTTCAAAACAACTAATAATTAGTAGTTCGTCTAACTAATAATTAGTAGTTCTTCTAAGTCTAACTAGTGATAAAAGATGAAGGAATAGGGAAGAGCAACAAAGTGAAGGAAAAGAATGAAGGAACACGAAGGAGGCACAGGGGTTATGAGAGTTGTGTGTTTGTTTACCCACAGACTCATCAGCACTCCACCTCTTCGCATTCTATTGTTTTAATGCTTTTTAATATGGGTCCACCACTTATTATAAAAAAAAATATTGGCCCACCGCTAAAAAAAAGTCTAACATTAACCAATTCCGATATCAATACATAACTTCTATACCGGTATACTGGATAAAGCGCTGCTATTTTGAGTATAGCGGAGTCGAAATGCAATATTGGCTTTTGTATTGAATAGCCAAAATTCCGATGTGCAATACCGTTATACTGGTGCTATACCGGATATTTAACAACAATGATCTGACAGCAAGGACTTATAATCCCATGAGACAGCAAGGACTTATAATCCCATGAGTTTTATGTACACACATACGAATTAGGTCTGGCTGAGAAAGACGATGAATGTCGGGAAAACTAGAAAAATTTGATTATACATTTGTTAATCAGTTTCTCAAGGCCGTGTAGCATTGATTTCAATATAGTGTTAAACCTTGTGGCTTTAAACTAAAATGATGGTATTCAATGCAAATATATGTTTGGTTTTTGATTTCTTTTGAGAAGTAACAATAATACCCAGTGAGCTTTAACCCAGTAGGTATTGGCCAATGCTTATAGCATATATTTGTGTGTGTGCCTATGGTTGATGGATTGAATTAACATCTTCCTTTTTGAGTGAACATTAAATGTTTTTTATTATAATATACTGATTTCAGAATAAGTGGAAGGATTCTACAATTGGAGACTGTTACTCAATCTGAGGCTGTGAGGAGGCGGTATCGATTTTTAAGTCATTTTCCGTTAACCACAACTTTTCAGGTGCTTTTTATTAGAGTTATTTAGTTTTATTAATATTTTCTTATGATTTATAATATATGTTTGCTAATTTTTCAGCTTTGTGAAGTTGATTTGAGTGAGATGTTGCCTCCTGAAGCACTGGCCCCATTTTTGGATGAAATAAAGAACCGTGCAAACCAGAGGAAGCAACTTGCAAAGAAGGTACCAATGTAGGGCAACATATTACACACAAACATACATGAATTGGGGTTAATAGGACTTTTCAAAGCTCTTGGCTTACTCCTTACATCAAACAAAGTTCTTGAGCACAATTTCATTGACTTTTTCTTTTTATTATTTTTCTCTTATTTGTAAGTGTTTGTTTGATGTGCATGTCAAGGAAATTGTGTTAAAGAACTCTGGGGGATTGTGCCAGGCTAGGTTTTAGGATTGTGCTTACTTATTTTTAATTCTGGGTGTCTGAGGCTGTACCCCAATTCTTGTTAGATTACAGTTGAATCTGGTATCCACTAATCCACATAATTTGGCTTGCACTTTGCCATGACATTGTAATTGTGTTGTATTCTTATTTTGTAGGAACTGAAGGAAAAATTGAAGGCTGAAGCTTCTTCTAATTATGCTCTTTCCATGTCAACCCATTATCAGTTTATTTCTCGTGATGATCCTCCAACGTTCTCCATGGATGACTTTGAAGGTAATTGATATAGCCTACCAGTAGTCTGTTCTCGGGATGTTGAAATGAGGGATTTGTGGTCACATTACTAGAAACCTTATTATTATATAAATAGAGAAATGCTAGGCTCACACTATCTACCACACTCTTAACACACTCCAATAATAGTTAGACACATTCATTTTTTTTATTCCTTTACCTAATAACCAGTTGATAAACGACTTTTTTTATGACCAATATTCACATAAAAAACCTGCAACTAAGTTTCTCTCTCCACAACCTCCATGGCTATTTTCAATTCATCTCACACACTATTAGCCACCATTGTCTCAAACTCTTATGATCATTTTGTAAATCACTTTTAGCAGTCATTATTGCTTCCAAAGTACCCATAAAAATCCAACTTTACAAAAACACACATGCATACAAGAATACCTAGATAGGAATCCTTTAAGGAAGGTTCAAATTCTAAGTAACTGAAAGTGAAAGAAGTTGAAAATATTAGAACTTTGATGATTGAGTTGAAGAAAATTGTGAAGTTCAAATTGTAAAAATGGGGTAGTTAATTTGTGATTTAGATCTGATTTAATTTGATTTTGAAATGTGAAAGAGATACAAACACACAATTAAGTGGATGCGGTTTTAAATTGGTTGGCACAAATCTAAGTATTCACAAACATTTCTGTCTCATTGTGTTTTAATCATTTACAGTAGCTTTACTTATGAGTTAAATAATGATTCTATAAGTGAAGTTATATGTGAAAGAAACGATGCACATTTGGGGCTTATTCTCCAATCTACCATGCCAAAACAGTTTGTACAACAACAAAGAAAAATCATATTGCAAGCTTGACGACGATGGCTCGAGGAAGTATGCTTCAGATTAGTGTTTTTGCAGAAGAATAAGAATCGGTGTGGTCTCAACTAAGTAGAAGACAACTCAATAATTGAAAAGATAAAATAAAACAATTGTCGAAGTGGCAAACAGAAGAACCGGTAACAGTAAAGTATAGGAATAAATAAGTGACGTGACAGCATGTAAGTGTATGTGTTTAAAAGAGTGTGTCTAAGTGTGCCCATAGCATTGCTCTATAGAAATATTATGTTGCTTGTGAGAAAATGAATTACTAATCATTTGAGCTGTAGTTGTTGAGTGAGTGTCACAGATCTACATAATTTCCCTTATTGCACTGGGGCATCACGGCTATTTTAGCCGATGCTGCTTCAATTGTTTTCCATTTATTTATTGCAGCCAATGATATATAACTGTTTACTTTTCTTTTGTTTAGCTCTAGGAAGTTCCACTCTGTCATCAAGTTCTCCAGTTGTTGGTGAGAGGAAATTGTTCTCAAGTGTGACTAGGCTTGGTTTTGCTGCTGCTCACGATTCTCCATCCTTTCAAGCTCAAGAAACTAGCGATTTACACAACAATAATTCGATTGCTGATTCTTCTGGTTCAGCAGGTATTATATCTTTCTGCAATATATTTTTTTCTTCAGTTATACTATATGTTAAGAGTCAAGTGGCTTCATGGGCCTGAATTTGTTTTATTTCTTAACTGTTGGAATCCTATAGGTTTGAGGAACGTGGAGACACTATCATACTCCAATGTCATATCTAGAGCAGAATCTAATGGAAGTTCGAATGCACCAAAGACAAATGACTCGGGAAAGAAGGGAAAGAAACCAAATCGAGTTCTTCTGTCAACAGCTGGTGGCAGGCGTTATTGATTATTTGTTCTGTAGATTACATGTATTTTACACTGAAATTATCTGTGTGGAGAAATAAATGTTTTCATTAGTACATAATCCATGACTCCAGTAGAATGTGTTTCTAGTGGTTCTGTATAATCACGTGCTATCACAACTTAAGAATATAGCCATTACATCTGAGTGGTTCTAGTTAATACATTCTATTATGAGCTTCTACTTTGATTATAAAACTAATTTTTAAGGTGCATTTTTATTTTCTTATGAAAATTTATCTGCTACATATTTATGGGATAATATGGAATATTTTAATCTATGAAACTTGTTTAAGATATCATTGTTGAAATACTAATAAACTATTGAATGTATCAATGTTAGAAGCATGAAAGCCTTGTTACTAAGTTTTGATCAACCACACAAATAAAATTAATACCAATCGAGTTTGTTCCTTGGGAGTAGTTCGAATACAATTCGAGTTCAAGTGTTTGATTTCAATGAATTTTTTTATTAAATATAAAAAATTATTCACATTTAATATACAACATATTGTTTGATTTCAATCAATTTTTTATTAAATATAAAAAATTATTCACATTTAATATACAACATATTGTTTGATTTCAATCGATTTTTTTATTAAATATAAAAAATTATTCACATTTAATATACAACATAATGTAATAAAATTAATAAGAAAGATTACTAGACTTGAAAAATAAAGCTAATAAGAAAAGATTAAAAATAAAGCTAATAAGAAAAGATTACTAGACATGGAAAAAAAGCTAATAAGAACAGAATTTATTTTACTCACTTAAATGTACTCTCCACTAAATACTTAAAATAAGTTTTCATTATTACTTAAAATAAGTTTTCATTATTATTGAGTTATATACAGCAAAAATAAACTCAGCTATATTATTGAGTTATATACAGCAAAAATAAACTTAGCTTAAGTAATATGCTGATTAAAAAATTAATTATTCATGATTATTTAATAGAAAATATATTCTTATTAATACTGAAAATAAAAAAAAATTCAATTGCAGACAATGTCACGGTGCAAATGTTAGTTATATATTTCACTGCTAAATGTGAATGATATAGTTTTGGTATAAAAAAAAGTGGATTCATCCCAAAATAAAAAAATAAAAAAAGTGAATCACAATTAAACTTAGATTTTGTGCCCAAAAAACTTAGATATATGCAAATACAAAATAAAATAAAATAAAATAATGCAAGCTGTAACAGCGTGATAGTTGCACTTCCATCATCAGAAGCAAACTCGAAGTTCTTCACATCACAGCCTAGAACGTCGTCGTTCACTGCTCCGTTTCAGTTAACTCTCTCTCTGAAAGTGTGTGTTGCGGTAAATAGCACCACCACCAATGAGACAGCACAAGCAAGTACCATCCGCGAGACCGAAGATTCTGTATCTGCTGTGCGGCGCTGCATTCTTCTCCTTTCTCCTCTTCTCTATCCAGTCCTCTTTCTTCACCGGTAATCACAATTTTCAATCTCCTATTTATTCTTTCTAATTCCTTTTCGTTGTTAATTCTCTTTCCATTTCGCATTTTCAGGCTCCTTCTATTCAGATCGCAACTCTGAATCGATTCGCGTTTTGTTTCAGTTTCAGTCCAAAGTTCAGCAATGTGTGGTAACTTTCCGATCTGAATATTATTATCATTCTTTATCTTACTATTTGTGATGTTTTTGTAATGCTTAGTGTCTAATTGAATTCTGAGAAACCTTATATGACTGTGATTGTGTGATGATTTTGTATAAAATTGATTTTGGTCGCAATTGAGTTTGAAGTTACTAATGTTAAATTCTTCAATTTAATGATCAAATCTAATCAAACAAAGGTTTGGAGACGGATCAAGTTTACGCAATACCGATCAAACACCTGATTTTTACATGTAATTTTGCTTGCGGAAAAGTCAATTATGATATTTTTCTATATTGAAACCAAACTGTGTTCTGTATTTGACTATGTTCGGCTTATTGTTTCCTTTTTCGGTTGAAATTTTTGGATTATATAGTAATGTGAAGAACTGAGCCAAGCTTGGAATTGAAAACAGGCAAATAGGGGGCTTGGACTCACTGCAGAAATTATTGACCATTGCACATTGGTTCTTAAATACCCTGAAGGCACCAACAGCACTTGGGTATGTGCCTAACCCCTCTTATTTGATTCAATTTTCAACTAATAGGTAGATGCTAGATTGTTTAATATATTTTTTATTTTTTATTTTTTTTTACGTTTCAATGATTGCAGTACAATCAGCAGTTTAAAAAATTTGAGCCTTTGGAGTACACATATGATGTGTGTGAGGCAATACTCTTGTGGGAACAGGTGCATTTTGATCCTTATTATATTTACGTCTGCTAAGTTCTATGTTTTAGGGTGAATCTATACTGAATGCTGATATCTTGTGATGTTGCAGTATCGAAACATGACCACAGTGTTGACAAGAGAGTATCTTGACGTTCGGCCCGGTGGTTGGTTAGATTATGCTCCACTAAGGATAGCACAATTGTATGGATCTCAAAACACAACTTCTCCTATTTATGTATTAATTTGACATGAGCATTTTTTTTTATGAGGCAAGTGTAGTTACAAGTTTTTTTCTTGTAGGGGGGCAAAGAACTGCTATAATAAGACTCTTTGTGAAGAGCAACTTAATATATTATTACCTGCAAAACCCCCATTTCATCCGAGGCAGTTTCGTACGTGTGCTGTTGTTGGGAATTCTGGGGATCTTCTGAAGACAGAATTTGGGAAAGAAATTGATGGTCATGATGCTGTTTTTCGAGACAACGAGGCCCCTGTTAATGAGGTAAATCTTTTTTAGATATCAACTTTATCATGATTTATTGTTCTAAAACTTAATTTTCTGTCTAATTGATATCCTGTTACTCTATTGACATACTTATTGTCTGCTAATGCAAGCTCCAACCATTATTCTTTTTGCTTCTGAACAAGATGCAAGTAGATTGATGTAGAACACAGAGTATCAATCTGACTTAGTTTGAAATTTTATGGCAAAACCTTACTTTATCTCTATGAATTGTGTAGAAATATGCCAAATACGTTGGTCTTAAGAGGGATTTCCGTCTAGTTGTAAGAGGTGCTGCTCGCAACATGGTTCCTATTCTAAATGGGTCTGGTAAGTTACTATATATGATAGTTATTTAAACAAAAATGTCAAACTTTATTCATAACCATCACTTAAAATTCTGGGCCACATTAGTTATATCGAGACTATATTCACCCTCCCTATTATTTACAATTGGCTGCTCTATGAAATATAGCCTTAAATCTCTATATTGCCCCAAATAGGTTATACCCTTCTTTTGTCACCTAAGAAGTTATGGAGAACTCTACCTTCTGTAATTTCTTGCAATATTGTTGATTCTTTTTTTTAGGGTATCTGATTCTATTTCTATTCTGTGTGAATTGTTATGCTTGGTTTTCATTTCCTTCACAAGTTCGGTAAAATATAATTCTAATATTTATTTATTTTTGTTAAAATTCATCACAATCAAAAGTCTCCATTGTTAATGCAGTCTCATTGAATCACATGACTATATGAGTAATGAGTTTTAGATTCTAGGTAAGAAAATTTGCAAACTCATTTCTTCCGTGTCCTGTAAACTAGAGTAAAAATTGTTAAACATGAACAAAGTTGTGAGTCTAGCCATGAGTGAATTAAAGGGAATATAATATCTTCCAAGAGTTGTCCAAAACAACATGCCATAAACTACTATGTTGCTAAGAAAGCTTGAAACACTATTGAGCCTGGAGTATCTGCGATTCCAATTTCCATGATAGATGTTGGACAGAATACAGATCCTGTAGTGAACCCAGTTTCAACCTTGTATCCTATAATTGTAAGCGGAGCTTCAACATGCAATCTAGCTTTCCCGAGTTCTTCCTCCAAGCCTGAACTTCAGGTCTACTTTGGACCCAACATTATGCATATACGCTGTTTAAAAATTTTCAATGTGAAATCAGCTTCTACTCTTGAAACCTTTTTTTATCTAGATTTTGGAGATAATGTAATATCTCCTTTTTCTCCTAACAATACCTGCAGCGGTACCACTCCGTGTCCCCAAAAAATTATTTTTTCTTTACTTCAACACACCTTATATATTCCTTGGATACATATTAGACATATCTATAAAGATTAAGGATGTGTCGAGGCAATGTTGATCAATGAAGGGTTAAAGACATTTAATTTGATTAGTTTTTTCTTAATGAAATATATTGCTCAATTTAGATCTTTTGAAAATAATATTAATATTTTGTTTAATATATGTACTGGTGTCAATATCATATGTTTTTTGCATCAGACGTGCCCGTGTCATGTAACGTGCCCGTGTTAGACTATATGCTTCATAGGCTCTGCAATTCAACCATGTTCTCTAGGTTTCGACCTGAAATCTTGAACATACGAAACCCTTCTGTCCACATCCTTGCCTCCTGATTCTAATCTACATTGTTGTAGAAACAATAAGCGAATGGCTGCATATATTACTTAAATTCTATTGGCTTGGGCTTGCCCCACTATATAGGCTTGGTTGGCAGAACTTTTCATTTACTAGTCATTCATTAATCTCATCACTAAGACCTATTTAGGCCTTACACATCAGGTCATACACTATACCCGTTTTGTAGAATACCCATTCTGTCCCATCCTTTTTCACTTTGTCTACAGAGTCCACACATCTACATCAGCCACCATGAGATGAGTGTTTAGGGTGTATGTGCAACTGGGACATCCTTCTCTGCAATACGTGGCTCCCAATATGGCAGTTCCAGACTCCAGTGGTTGTACAACTGTACAAGACTGTTCTGAGTATTGAGGACCCAAAAAGTTTGCCATCGAGGTTTTTTTTTATACAAAACCTCTCTTGGAAACTTATGGACCAATTTCTAGGAACCTGTATTTAGGAAAATGAAGAAATTGTATTATTGATTGAAAATAGATATATTGCATCACTAACCCCACAGAGCAAAAGCTCCTCAGTGAAGAAATATTTCTCTCTCTGCCCAAACCATATTGTTTTTAACTGAAATTTTTTGAATGCCCTCTCCACTTGCTACCATTCTCGTTAATACTCCCTCCGTTCCTTTTTAAGTGTCATTTAATAATTGTTGTTACTTTTTAAACAATGATTATCTTTTTGCCTATTTTACCCTTAACTTTTTATTAATTTATTTGACTTTTTTCTCTCTCTAATAAATAACTAGGGATAGTTTTGACATAACAACAATCAATACTACTTTGAACTTTGAAATGACATTTAAAAATGAACAAATTTTTTTCTAAAAAGTGACACTTAAAAAGGAACGGAGGGAGTATTAGTTTGTTTCCGTCTTACCATATTTGCCATCTAAGTTGCAACCAATTCTCTATTTGGCCTGCTTCTTGGTGTAAGGCCCAAACTCTCGGTACCTAAGTCTTGTTTCTCCATCAGTTATTTGTCACGCGATGTATCATAGCAAGTGAATCGCTCATTCGCTTCCATGATTTATCTTTCAAGCATAAAAGAAAATTGATTATTAGTAACTTTGGGTTCTCTTTTTAGTCTCTGCTCAATTACCTTTTTCTGTAACTTAATTAATAGTATGAGTGATTAGTTTTTTTTTGTTACAAAACGGGAATCTCATAAGTTTAATCTCCTATAATTAGTAAATAAATTAAAGTTATAACAAAAACTGTTACTTTGATGTAAATTTTTGTATTCTTTTCTTTATTGATGAATATATCACTCAATGCCATGATAGAGACTCAGATTTATGGGGATCGGCTGTATGATAGAGACTCTAAATACCGCGGAACTAGAAATCTAGAATTTCACTCAATGCCATGAAATTTTTGTCCTATTTTTTCCTTGTACCAGCTAGTATATTTTACTTGTATTAAGTGAGTAAATCATTTTTTTTTTATTGTTGCAGATAATGAGGTACTCATAATCAAAAGTCTGACACACAGAGAAATCAATGCAGTTATAAAGGTGAGAATCTGTTCTTTGATAGCTGTTTACTTGTTGCTTTTTGGTATATAAACTTGATACAGATGGTAGCCATTGCATGCTTACAAGATTTAGTTTTTCTACATTTGTTTGCACTACCTTTTTATGCAGACTATACCAAATCCAGTCTATCTCTTTCAAGGTATTGTACTACGTCGAGGTGCCAAAGGAACTGGAATGAAGTCTATTGAATTAGCACTCTCCATGTGTGATATTGTTGATATATATGGTTTCACCGTTGATCCTGGATACACTGAATGGTGGGTTTCTTTCCTCGGATATTGTTTTATTTCACACACTGTTGGTCTATGATCTGTACCCCTTTTCAGTGTATTCTTGGTGCTTGTGCCCTTGAATAGATTTCTTTTGATGCTATTTCAAGTCTTCAATATTTTTTAGGGATACATGGAGGGCTGTAATATTTTATATTTTTATCTTCCTTATTATCATTTTTTCATTACAGGACAAGATACTTCTCTGATCCTAGGAAGGGACACAATCCACTTCAAGGCAGAGCATACTACCAACTTCTAGAATGTCTTGGGGTATTTGCATTATAAATTTTCACATAAAATATCCTTTACTTGTACTTTTTCTTTACGTTTTTTGACACAATTTATTGTCAGGTAATCAGGATTCATTCCCCCATGAGATCCAAGAGGAGGCAAGACTGGTCAGATGTGCCAGGCAGAGAAATGATAAGCCAAGCACACACAGCAGCTTGGCGCTTGAGAAAGAGTTCAGCTGGTAAGGCTGGGAGTTTAGGACAGTTTGGCAATTGTAAAGTGTGGGGCAATGTAGACCCAGACAAAAGTGGACCTATCTCAGGCTCACCAGACATGAGTGATGTCAGGAAGAATTCAAATTATAAAAAATGGGAAGTCATGGCTTTGAAAAGTTTGAGGAAAGAAGCACAGGTTCACTATAATCAGATGGAAGGGGTCTCCCAGTATAAAATGGATGGCAATAAGTTGGATGATCTAGTGTGTGTGAGACACTCCTTAAAATCTGACGTGTAAATGGTGCATTTTGGTCTGCTTTTATTTGCTTATCACACCCAAGTCCCAGTCACCTTCTAAAAATCTGGGATGAAGTTACCTTCTGAGAGTTGCTAACTTATAGCTCCTCAACAGTTCATCTGTTTCATCATGTACTGCTGCCAACAGAGCATAGAAAGAATCATGGCTCCATCAAAGGAAAACTTGAGTGTCAATTGTATAGCTTTATTGATCCAAGTGATTTTGAGTGATTTATATTCATGCTGATCTGTGTTAGAGATCTTAAAGTCCCAATATAGGAATTCGGACTACATAGTGTGATAGAGATCTATCTATTATAATGTAATGATTGGCTGAAGAAAGTTATGTGATGATCAACAAAGCCTATAAAGGAGAAAAGTGATAGTCAAACATTTTGTAAACTGATTTTCAATAGTTTTAATGTCATTTTCTAGCAGAGTTATTTTGCATTGTTCCTGAAGGAAAATTGCGATCTAAACGCAGCGGAAAACAAAAATTTTCCTTTAGTGATCCTCACGAATGAGCATGGTCAGTGATAGAATCGTTACCTCTTTGTGGCGATTCAGATCTTTGATGCAGCGATCACAAGCGTTGATGAAGTGCAACGCCTCTACTCAGTCCACACGAACAGCTTCCGGTCACAGTGCTAGCTGCTTACGAACGGAATTATTTGAGTGAGAAAAGAGAATCAAAACGAAATTGCATCAAGTGAAAGCTTCATCACAAGGGTTCCTTTTATAGACTCTCTTGTGGGCTGCGGGCTAAAACCCTAATTCACATGATCCATAATAATATTATATATTATTATAATAACTATTATTATAATAAATATATTTATTTTATTATTATTTTATAACCATTATAAAATAACAATAATTATTATTATATTATCCGAATTTCTATTTTTCACTTAAGTGCACCGTACCTTACGGTGTTCCTTTGATTTCTCTATCTCTCATCAAACTGTCCTTATGTGTGTGACCCTGTAGGATTTCGTAACGTTGGTAATTATATTAAATTATATATATTTAACATAATAAACAGTAAGCGGTATCTAGCAACACATCACTGCTACCCAAGTCACGAAAATGTCATGTGATCTGACAAAACCTTTTCCGTGATAATATATGTTTGTACAATTACCCTTTTGCCCCTATGTCTATATTGAACACAAGGCATACACTGTGTCATCCTTGTCCAGTTCAATATTGGGCCCTTAGACATTTCTCCTGTTATGCAGGATTGGCAAATTCCATCTAGGACACTCATGTCCCTCAGCATGCTTCGTGGAGTGCCCATCAACTGTCTTTATGATCATCCAGTTACGGATAATGTTTGATCAGCAATAAAGCACCCGACTCTACATCTAGGGTCCATAGTGGTTTCAGGTCGAAGGGTGGTAATACACCATTATCACCATGAGAATAACTTATGACACTTTGCATAACATACTATGTAGTATTCTCATAGCGGGTCAATCCGGTATAAATATTACTCCTAATATTTATACCTATGTCAAGACTTGATAACTCTTTATCCATGATCCATGAGATGTGATCATCAGTCTATCTTCATAATAGTCTCAATGCTTTTAATGTTATCCCACTTTGCAATAAAGCTTGACTACGGATATTTTAAGAATAATGTCTTTATGTTTAATGGGATCTCATGATTAAGTCACACTTAACATTTCATTAAACAGACTAACTATTCTAGGGACTTTATTATTCTGAAAGACAAACATAATAAAGAAATGCCTTTTATTATTAAACGAATAATCTGATACAAGTACCAAAAAGTATTGGCCTCTAGGGCTTACACCAACACATATGCTTAGTTTATACGGGGTTTGCTAAATACACTCTTGGTATTTCTTCTAAATCTTATGAAATTTTAAAATTACTCTTTTGCCTTCTGGATAATAATGTTTGAATTATCAATATATGAGACTTTAGTAGAATTAGAGTTTGGTTTAACTCAATTTGGGGGTGTCATTCTATATAAATTATTTGTATATTGTATATTTAACCATTGTGGGACTTGAGTTTTTTTCAATACCCTTCCTCATTCCAAAATGTTTGAAAACAAACTCCCACTTTTTTCTATTCTTACTCATTCGTTGCATCAAAATCTCTCAATTTTTACACTTATTTATTTAAACTAACTTCGTGCATCAATTCTGAAAGTTATCCTCCATTGAGTTGTGGCATTTGAAGAACATTCGGAGAATTGTATTGCTTCTCATCCTCTCATTACACAAGATTAGTATGATGCATTCATTTTCTTTTTAGGTTTGAATTAATGCACATTATATCTCATCTATTGTATTTGTTCTATCTATTTCTCATTGTTTGAGTTTTATTTTGTTATATTTGGGGGGTAAGGTTTTGTTTCTCTTTTTTTTATGTGTTTGCATCAGTACGAATGTTACTATTTGAAGACAAGATTTGAATGTTAATCTTCATACAAGAGATATATCCATTATATACCATCTGTTGAGATGAAACAACGCATTTGTGTTGAGTTTGATAAGTGCAAGCATATGTAGGACTAATAGCAATAAAAAATATGGATACAAACATGTGTTTGAATGTTGTCTTTTGTATTGTGTGAGTATTAAGATGAACCTCCAAGATATAAGCATGCATGATTATCACATCATGCATCAGTTCGTAACTCCGTCCAAATAGTGGGACATTCATGAAGGGTTTTTGTTGGGAATAGTATAACAAATGTAAATAGTATGAATAATAGTCTCACATTGGATAAGAATGTGGTAACTTGAGCATTTATAATTGGGAGAACCCGCCTAATATTCAATACTCCCTAGTATAAAACTCCTCTAACATGGTACCATGAGCATTTGTTTCGTAAAGGAAAAACTCCTCTAACAGTTTTGAGATCCCGTTGCATAACCCTTGGAATCATGCCAACTTTGGGCATTTTCTTTTCATTCTATGGGACGAATGAGGTTGATAAGGGAAGTTGGATTTCTCTAAACTCCCTTAGTGGTAGGGGTGGGATGAATGAGGTTGATAACGGAAGTTGGATTTCTCTAAACTCCCTTAGTGGTAGGGGTATTTTCACTCTCTAGTCGTGGAACTACAAAAGTTGAAAGGATAATTTTATCCGAGTTTGAGGTGGTATTGATTGTCCCGAAGTTATATTTGAGGAGGAGGTATTACATTGTTTCCTTTTTATTGGTCAAGCAAGCTTGTGTTGGTACTGAGTTTTGGGGTTTTGTCCATAATAAACTTAGTGAGGTGGAGAAGGGTGATGTTGAGTTTTTAGAACAATTTCGCGTTCTGAATCTTTGAGATTTGATGAAGTGTGAGGACGATAAGCTGACGATTAATGCTTATGTAAGTGTGTTTTATTTGCATAACCTTTAATTCCTTTTTATTTATTCTCCTTTTAACTCGTGATGTTTTTATACAGAGAGGATGACTCTTATGTCGGTGACAGAGAAGAAAGTGTTATTTCATTTTTATTAAAAACAACTTTTGTATATAAGACATTATGTGTACATTTTGTCGCCTTTGTAAAAACACTGGACATTTTAGCGCCAAATAAACCGAGCGTAATCCGTCACTCATCTCATGAATTACATAAAACCATGCACGAGGAAACCCAACGCGTTCAACAACCTTGTCACGCTAACTACTCCAAAACCTCACATTCACGTCGACGCTTCCATCATCAAGACAGGCTTCGATCCCAACACATGCCGTTCCAATTTCCTTCTCAAGACTTTTCTCCAACGCGGGGATTTAATCGCTGCCCGCAAACTGTTCGACGAAATGCCTCACAAGAACATATTCTCCACCAACACCATGATCATGGGTTACATCAAATCTGGCAATCTTTCTAAAGCCAGAACCTTGTTTGATTCCATGTTTGAACGGACTGCTGTTACATGGACAATGTTGATTGGTGGCTATGCTCAAGATAATAGATTCCGTGAAGCTTTTAGCCTTTTCGTTGAGATGGGTAGGCACGGGATCGACCTGGATCATGTCAGTTTGGCTACTCTGTTATCTGGGTTCACTGAGTTTGATTCTGTTAATGAAGTGAGACAAGTTCATACCCATGTTATCAAATTGGGTTATGATTCGACGCTTGTGGTTACTAACTCATTGCTTGACTCTTACTGTAAGACTGGCAGCCTTGGATTAGCTTGTTGCCTGTTTAGTGATATACCTGAGAGAGATTCTGTGACTTTTAATGCCTTGCTGACGGGGTACTCGAAAGAAGGGTTCAATCATGAAGCCATAAACCTGTTTTTCAAGATGCAGGAATTGGGGTATAGGCCATCGGAATTTACCTTTGCTGCGATTTTAACAGCAGGTATACATTTGGATGATATAGAATTTGGGCAACAAGTTCATGGTTTTGTGGTGAAGTGTAACTTTGTGTGGAATGTGTTTGTGGCTAATGCTTTGCTTGATTTTTACTCGAAGCATGACCGGGTTGTTGAAGCAAGGAAGCTTTTTTATGAGATGCCGGAGGTGGATGGCATCTCTTACAATGTGCTTGTCACCTGTTACGCGTGGAGTGGAAGAGTCGAAGAATCTCTTGAACTGTTTAAGGAATTGCAATTCACTGGATTTGACAGGAGACAATTCCCATATTCTACCTTGTTGAGCATAGCTGCAATTTCTTTAAACCTAGATATGGGTAGACAGATTCATTCCCAGACTATCGTAACGGATGCGATTTCAGAAATCCTCGTAGGTAATTCATTGGTTGATATGTATGCTAAATGTGGCAAATTTAAGGAAGCAAATAGGATGTTTGCAGATCTAGCTCATAAAAGTTCTGTTCCATGGACAGCCATGATATCGGCTTATGGCCAGAAAGGACTTCATGAAGATGGTCTAAAGCTATTCATTGACATGCAAAGAGCCAAAATAAGTGCTGATGCAGCCACTTATGCCAGTATCGTTAGAGCATGTGCAAGTTTAGCCTCATTGACACTGGGAAAGCAGTTGCACTCACATATAATTGGATCGGGATACATTTCAAATGTCTTTTCTGGGAGTGCACTACTTGACATGTATGCAAAATGTGGATCCATAAAAGATGCCCTTCAAATGTTTCAAGAGATGCCTGTAAGAAATTCAGTCTCCTGGAATGCACTTATTTCAGCTTATGCACAAAATGGAGATGGAGACCGCACCCTTGGATTGTTTGAAGAAATGGTTCATTCAGGTTTGCAACCAGATTCTGTTAGTCTCCTTAGCATTCTATGTGCTTGCAGTCACTGTGGTCTAGTTGAAGAAGGGTTACAGTACTTCAACTCCATGACTGAGATTTATAAACTTGTTCCCAAGAAAGAGCATTATGCATCGGTCATTGATATGTTATGTCGCTGTGGAAGATTTGACGAGGCAGTGGAATTGATGGCTCAGATGCCTTTTGAACCCGATGAAATAATTTGGTCATCCGTTCTCAACTCATGTAGAATCCATAAAAATCAGGAGTTGGCTAAGAATGCAGCAGAGCAACTATTCAAAATGAATGTACTTAGAGATGCTGCTCCATATGTTACCATGTCCAATATCTATGCAGAAGCTGGTGAATGGGACAATGTAGGGAAGGTGAAGAAGGCCATGAGAGAAAGAGGAGTGAAAAAAGTCCCTGCTTATAGTTGGGTTGAAATCAAACACAAAACACATGTTTTCACTGCCAATGATAAGTCTCATCCACAGATGAAAGAGATAATGAGGAAGCTTGACGAGTTGGAAGAGAAAATGGGGAAACAAGGGTATAAACCAGACTCAAGTTGTGCCCTTCACAATGTGGATGAGGACGTGAAGATAGAGTCTCTTAAATATCACAGCGAGCGCATTGCCATTGCCTTTGCACTAATTAGCACCCCGAAAGGGTCACCTATATTAGTGATGAAAAACCTAAGAGCTTGTACTGATTGTCATGCCGCCATAAAGGTGATCTCCAAGATCGTAGGTCGAGAAATCACGGTTAGGGACTCAAGTAGGTTCCATCATTTCAGGGATGGGCTTTGCTCCTGTAGAGACTACTGGTAGCCTAGCTTTGTACCATCCATAAAGCCGTCAATTTCCCTTGAAAAAAAGAGGTAAAACCTTGTAAAGAATCTAGTAGTATGAAGAACTGAGCTGAGCTAGGGATTGAAAACTGGCAAATAAGGGGCTTAGACTTGCTGCAGATATTATTGACCACTGCACATTGGTCCTTAAATATCCTTAAGGCACCAACAGCACTTGGGTATGTACTTTTGTCTCCTAACCCCTCTTCTTTGATTCAATTTTCAATCAATAACTAGATGCTGGTTTTTTATTGATTCAATTGTTGCAGTACCATCAGCAGTTTAAATAATTAGAGCCTTTGAAGTACACATGATGTGTGTGAGGCAATACTATTGTGGGAACCGGAGGATTTCTACTTTTTTTTTTATTTTTAAAATTTTAAATTTTACCCCTGCTTAAGCTCTGTGTTTCAGGATGAATCTGTAATGAATACTGATATGTTGTGATGTTGCAGTACCGTAACATGACCACAGTGTTGACAAGAGAGTATCTTGATACTCATCCTGGTGGCTGGTTAGATTATGCTCCACTAAGAATAGAACAATTGTATGGATCTCAAAACTTCTCCTGTTTGTGTATCAATTGAATTGGCTGCGAGGAGAGAGAGAGAGAGAGAGGGGGGGGGGGGGGGGGGGGGGGGGCTACTGTAGGACTCTTTGCAAAGAGCAACTTAATAGACTATTACCTGCAAAACTCCTTTTCATCCATGGAAGTTTTGTTCTTGTGCTGTTGTTTTGAATTCTGGGACCTTCTGAAGACAGAATCTGGGAAAGAAATTGATAGTCACGATGCTATTTTTCAAGACAAGGTGGGCCCTTTTAATGAGGTAAATCTTTTTTAGATATCAACTTTAAAATAAATTTTTGTTCTAAAACTGTTGAATTGATATCCAGTTACTTTATTGACATAGTCATACTGATTTCCCGCTAATGCAAGCTCCGACCGCAATCTTTTTTCCTTCTGAACAAGATGCAAGTGGATTGATGTAAGCACACAATGGATCGATCTGACCTAGTTAAAAAATTTATTGCAAAAGCTTACTTTTTTTTCTATGAATTGTGTAGAAATGATTTCCGTCTAGTTGTAAGAGTTGATACTTGCAACATGGTTTCTATTCTATATTGGTCGGGTAAGTTACTATATATGATGATATTTAAACAAAAATGACAAACTTTATTGATAACCAGCGCATGAAATTCTGGGTCACATTAGTTATATTGATTGAGAGTTTTATATTCACCCTCCCCATCATTTACAATTAGCTGCTCTATGAAATACAGCCTTAAATCTATGAATTGTTATGTCTGGTTTTCATGTCCTACAGAGGTTTCCTAAAATATAATTATAATATTCTTTTGACTTAAAATCAGCTCGATCAGAAGACTCCATTGTTGTCAAACTTGCGAGCTAACTTGGTCTCGTAGAATTGTGAGTAATGAATTTATAACCATAAGTAAGACAATTTATTGTACTCACTTACAACTTACAAACTCATTTCTTTAGACTTGGGTTGACTGATGAGGAAAAACAGTCACACTCGCACAAAATTGTGAGTCTTAGCTGAGTGAATTAAAGGGAATGTAGTATCTTTCCAGAGTTTTCCAAACAACGTGCCAATACTACCATGTTGCTGAGAAAGCCGAAAATGCAGCTTACTACTCTAATTGTCTATAATCACATGACAACATTGCATTGACTTGTGGTCGATCTCACCGGTTAAAATTGTAGAATCTAAATGTGAATTTTAATAACAACAGTACACTGGCCGGTGGTAAAATTCAGCGGAAGTATATTTCAGATTGTAGAATTTAAATGTGTATGTTGCACGTGCGGAGTTTGGAATCCGTAATATACCGGTGACAGAAGATTAGAAAACAGTTTAAAAATTGGAACAGAGTATTTTCAAAGAACTTGTAAGAAATTATTTGTTGCAGAGAAGTTGCATAGTAGTTTGGAAGTCCATTTTCTATTGGTTGTCCAAGTATATTGTCACTAGGCAGAGATTCCCTTCTTTTTAGCATTTTGCAGTGAAGTTTTATATTTCAATTTAACTGATGATATTATAAATGATTATGTTCTTATTAGACATATATCCAACGTAGAATTGTGTATTTAATTGTTCTTATACTTCACTTGCCCGAAGTATTGAGTATTTAAGTGTTCTTATACTTCACTTGCCCGAAGTATTGAGCCATTGGATTACATTTGGTTTTATAAATTTGTTTAACATCAAACATATATTAGAAACATAATTTACAAGTAAATCATCATTTTAATTCTCAAAAGTATTGTAGTCGGATAATTAAGCTTTACAAATTTGCAAAATAATATTTTAGTTTGTTAAATTACAAAAATGTTCAATTAGTTTATTTTTCCCCCTTTCAATGTAGCACTATAATTTTATAATAACAAGAGACTGTCTTAATGAAGCAAGAGACTCTCTTTAAAAGGTAATATGTAAATCTTTCAATGATTTTGATAAATATTTTTTTAAAATGATATTTTGGTTCAATGACATAAATTAAAAGATTAAATTACAATTTTGGATTTGATCCAAAAAAAAAAATTACAATTTTGGATATTAATATACTGATTTACTCACCAATCTAAAACACAAATATGACCAAATTGTATTACAATCTTGCTTACAGATAATATTAGTGATTGAGAAATGCTCTCAAAAATAATATAAAAATCAATTTGTACTATATATTGAAAAAAGTCCAAGAGTCTCACAGTTATGTTGTGAGTCAGGACAATCAATAATCTCCCAAAAACAAAAAGTAGAACCTTATCTTGAGCATCAAATATCTTATCCATTATAGTTACACATGTCATATTTCTATTCTATAAATTGGAACAAAACATCCTCAAAGCATTAGTAATTAAACTCCAAAATTCACAAAACACACTTCAAAATGCAGACAGCTTTAACCTTTGCAGCCGCCACCACCACCGTTGTGCCTCTGACAAAACCAAAGAGTGTCTCACATCTTACTACTTTCCCTACCAAATTCACTGCGTTACGTGCTTCTCCACCTCGTTACACTCCAATCAAAGTAGCATCTGGGAACTCTGACCCTTCAACAGTCAACTACAACTCAGCATTCTCGTAAGATCTCGTTCTTAATCACTTTCATGCTTGAAACGGTTGAAAAGATTACCATAATAGTATTTGTTTGTGTTATTGTCAGTGTGTTTCCAGCTGAGGCATGTGAAACGGTTGGAGGGGAAGCTTGTTTGGCAGACATGTATCCTGAAGTGAAGCTTCAGCCAGAGGCAAGTAATGACACACCAAAGGTTGCAGCTTCAGAGAACATTGACAGAGACTATCTTGAATACAATGACCCTAAGACGTAAGATTTAATTACTATTGTTTGAAATATCAAATCAGAATTGTAGATCTGTAGGTGAGATAGTATTAAATGGATGATGTGTTTTTCAGGGTTTTCCAAGCAGAGGCATGTGATGATCTTGGAGGAGCTTTCTGTGAACCTGATTATCAAAAGGGTGTCTACTAGAAGAAATGAAAAACCTCCTTTGTTGCCATGATTCTACGAATATTTCATACTACCTTATCAATGTGTGATTGTAGTATTGATTGTACATAAATATAATGAGTTGTGTTTTTTAAATAAAAAGTTTATGCAACATTGTATGTGCGAGTTATATCTCTTACTTTTTATCTTCTACTAAAAATTACACACATCTAAAAATACAAACCAAAATCAAGTTAGACACATCAATTATATTTTCATTGTACTTCGTCGCAGCAGGCCAAGAACTTATTCTTCCCCAGTAGAATATCTCTATAAGACAGTCAGTATTGTTGGTGGCGCTTCCAACATATATTATATAAACAACACCTGCTTCCAACATATATTATGCAAAATTTCATATTGAGTTATACTGCGAAATTTCATATTGGTTTCAACATAGAATAAGCTGGTTCAAGGTCTTGGAGGATATCTGTAAGAAGGTTTCATCAAAGAAGGTTTCCTAAAGAAGGTCTCATTCGAAGTACAAGTGAGGAAGTGAGCTGATCCCAAGTCTAGTTCAAAAGCCAGGTAAGGGATTGTCATGGTTTAGAAATATTTGTTGAAGGGAATCCAGTGAAACATTGGGAAAGGTAATATTGGATGGGAATGGTAATATTGTTCAACGCAAAATTTTGATCAATCTATACTGAGTTGACAATATCTCAGTTCTTGGATGGGAATGGTAATTGGATTCTAAACAGAATGAGACATTAATCTCTACCTCAATCTTCACCTTGTACAAGTCTTCATCTTGTATGATTATTAAACCAGTATGCGGCTTTTCAAGCATATCAAGCCAGTTAACACTCCTGGGCTGCAGGATAGAAATATGTACTGTTCGAGACTGCATTGTGGCAAATTTGACTGAACCATAGCCTAATGAAGAATATGAAAAATGGAGTAAAACACAATTTATTCCTAGACTCTATATGACACTTACCTAATTGGCTGGTTTAAGAACCTATAATGTATTATGAAATTTGTTTTTCTGTTTACATCAGAAACACAAATTTAGTTATACATTGTAAAGTTTCTATACACATACTGCTAATGCACCAAAACATCCTCCACCCTGGCCTTCCCATCAGTCATACCTAATAAGCTCAAACCATATAGTCTGCCATTGGTACAATTACAAATGGCCTACATAACACCAACTCCTCCAAAAAAATGTGTGTCCGTGTAAGACGCAACACCAACACCTATGATCGTGTTCAATTCAATTCTACCGGTGTCAGCGTGTTAGTGTGTTCCTACTTTGGATTAGTTCTTTGATTGCATAAAATGGTAAACCTAGTGACTATGACTAAAACCTAGAAACATAAAACCAACAAACAAACAACAGAACATGTATTCTCTCTCAAGACTATACTAATCCACATATAATAACAATTGAAGCTTATAACAAAGTAGAAAAATATTCCTTCAATATCTCAATTCTCCATCAAAACAAACAAAATTCAATACATAAAACTCAATTTCATTAAAAATTAACAATCTAACAGCAGTCTATTACTTGAATGAATCATCAGGAACCATCCTAAGCTGTTTCCTCTGCTTCGACTTCGCAATCCTCTTCAAAGTTTTAGGGTTCGTAATCTTCTGAAGCTTAGTCCCAGTTCTAAGAATATTCTCTTTCTTCTTCTTCTCCCTCTCTTCCTTCTTCTTCCTTTTCTCAACCTTATTCAACCTTATCTCTTCTTTCAACTCCGTCATCCTCTCCCTAAACGCCATTTTAATACTCTTCGCTCTCGCCCTCTCCTCAAACGTCGTTCCCTTCTTGCTAACCTGCATCGCCGACGACCGCCTCTGCCGCACCTGCTTCCAGTTTCTTCCAGAGACTCTCCCGGCAATCACTCCGTCGTACGTAGGTTTACCAAACGAAAACGACGAAAATGACGGTTTGTTGGGATCTGATTCCGATGGAAGCGCAGATCTCTTTGCCGGAGGAGGGGCGGTTTCGTCGGTCTCCATCTCCATGGCGTGGATTTCTTCCATCTTTGCGTCCTCTACTGCTTGAGCTTGTTCGCGTTTGCGCTTGTAGGTTTTGCCGCCGAAGCCTTCATCGAGGTGGCGAAAATCGATAGTGGAAGCCATGGTTGGTATCAGAGGTGTGTGAAATGATACAAAACCCTAATAAAATTTTAGGTTTTATTTATACTAGGGATGATAGTACTTGTAGTTAACAATTTTTAGGATTTATCTTTTAGTCCTCACCATTTTTGCATATTGTCACATTGAATCCAACTAAATATTGTTATTAACAAGTTATTTAATTAGACTTTAAAATTGATACTATAATATTTTAATAATTTAAAATTAATTTAAATTTTTTCCATTGACATTATTCATTATTCTAATAGATGTTAAGATCAAGTTTTGCGAAAATATATTTTTGAAGCAAAATCTAGTTACAAACATTTTTTAAAAGAGGTTTTGCCTAGGTGTCAACTTGAATCTCATGTAACAACAATATTTCTATTAATCAGATTTCTCTCTTTAATTTGTATTACAAGTTTTAGGTTTTCTTTAAAGGCAAACGAAATCAATTTGCAATAGTCACATGAACCTTATGTCTTCGGTTTAAATTCATATACTTAGGTATAGGGACCTTGGCACATGGTAAATGTGCTTTGTGATTTCTGCTATTTATTGGTAAGTTCGATCTTTGTTTTTTGTATCTAAGAATCTTGGGTGTGACTTGGGTGAGCTATGGGGATAGATGAGAATAGATGGGTTGAAGTGAAGTATAAAAGTAGGGGAAATATGAAACTCAGAAGTTCTTCTTGGATTGATAGAAGAGAGAATGCATTGGATGTAAATGAAGAAATCACTTCATTTTTCTTCATTGAGTTTGATGAAGAGTATGGATCCAAGGAGATGTTTGAAGTGTTTAAGGAGTATGGATTGGTATGAGAAGTATTATTTCAAAGAAGAAGAGATATTAAGGGGAAAAGATTTGGTTTTGCTAGATTTAGAAAAGGTAAAAGATATTAGAATCGTGGCTGCTAAATTAGACAGTATCCAAATCAAAGATAAAAAGATTTTTGTTAACTTACCTAAGTTTAACAGAAGGAGTAAAGGTAATATTTTGAATCATCATGTGGCAAACGTTCTTACCAAACCTCTAGGAGTAAGGTATGAAGATAAACAAAGGCGTTATGGCACCAATGGCAGAACTTACGCTAACGTCGTGGGTGGCCAGAATCGAAGGTTGTTTGATGAGGAAAAGCCAAGTTTTGCCCATCTTCAATTCAATATTAATGAAGCACAAATGGATCGTTTTGAAAGAGCTTTTGTTGGGGTTGTAAGTAAAAGTGGTAATACTTATAATGTACAAGAAGCTTTGAGTGTGGAAGGATATTTTATAATTAAAGCAACCCCTTTAGGGGCCAATTTGTGTCTATTGGAAGAAAGTAAACCTGGGGATATTGTTGAACTAGTTAGTAAAGATGGGGAGTGGGTTGAAAGGTGGTTTGACAATATCCATCTCTAGACTCTTGAGGATGTGGATAGAGAAATAATGACTTAGTTAAAATGCTTTGGATTACCATGTCATGCACGAAATCCTAAATTTTTCAAATTTTTATGTGGGAGAGTTGGATAGTACATATCATCTTATATTGATACAGAGAAGCACAATTGTTTTGACGTAGCAATAATTCTCATTAAAACAAAGTTTTCCATTAATCTTAATGAGATGTTCAATGTGGAAATAAGTAATAATATCTATCGTATCAAGTTATTGGAGGATTTCCATGGGCCGAATCAAATGACCATCTATAGGGAGGATGAGGCGAAAAGTTGTTCGGGTGAAGATGATGAAACTAAATTAGATGATGATAATGAAGTCTCTGAAACTGCTTCTCTGGAGGTAGAAGATGAAGACGTTTTGTCTAGACACGATACTCAAGATGACAGAGATGAAGTATGGATAGAGTCTAGCACTCATCATGAAGAATATATGGAACATGCGCGACAGGCTATGAAAATTGGGAAGAGTATGACCTGTGGTGTGAATGAATATGAGGTTCATCGTGATGATGTGAAAAAGATAGCAGGTGAAAAGGTGTCAGTTTTTGGGTTGCAATATTTTAATGTAGTGTGTGGGTCCTCTGTGCAGAGTAAGCAGAGATTTGAAAAGGAACTAGTTGTGGTCAACAAGTTTAATCAAGTGTTGGAAACTGGTAGTGGGCCTAGTTTTTCCCCCGTTGATATGGGCCTGATGGTGCCAAGTCCAAAGGGAGCAGATTCAAGGGAAGATCCAATTGATAGTTCACATGTTGGCTCGAATAGAATTGTTTTAGGGTCTAAAGATAAAAGAACAAAACCTTTGAAGGATATCTATGAAAACATCAAAATCCTTTTTGCTTCATCTTATTTCTCAACTGTAATTAATGTGAGTATCAAGAAGGTTGGTGATCAGGTTGTAGGGTCGAAGGTAAGTATACAACCCAATCTTGAGGCAGTAAGTAGTGAAAATAGCTCAAGCTTTATTGGTGGTTATGTGCTTTGTTGTGAGTCTTTAAGTGGCGGTGATATGATCAAAGGTAACTTTCAAATCAATAAGTCTATGGAGGATGTTTCATCAAGGGTGTGGAAAATGATAAAAGAAATGGGTGTAGAAGGAGATGAAGATGATGACTTATTTGAAGGTGTATTGAGGGAGCTTGAAGGGAAGGATAGAAGGTTTGACCTCCATGCTAGTTTGATCATCCAGGATTTCTTGAATTTGTTAAAGACTCGTGGAATTCTGATATGGGATTATGAGGTAAAGGTTTAGAGTTGGCTAAGAAACTCAAGCACCTTAGACAGCAAATTCGTTGGTGGAACAAGAATGTTTTTGGTTGGATGGATCTGAGCATAAAGGTTGGTGTGAAGGCTTTAAATAACATTGAAGACTCCTAGTCAGATTTTAAAGATGCATAATGTAACACCCCAAATCTAAACTTACTGATAACAGGAAAAACAACAATTCATATAGCAAACAAAGCGCAGTAGCGCAAACATTGACTGCATGACGGTCGTCATGAGCCTGTGACGGTCGTCACACAGACAAAATTCCTCATATCAGAGATGTTACACTTCAACCTGACAGACAACAATCATTATGCAACAACTTGCAAATATCATACGTAGCACGAAATTGGATGAACAATCATCAATGTATTACTTAACCATTTAATCATAAAACAACTCGTCATTACTTCCGGTGGAAGTTCGATAAAGTATACAACATGTTCTCTTAAAACAATTTAATAAAAACATCGTAACAAGTTCAATCAACAATAACATCGACTAAAATAATAACAGCAATCGTCCATCCCCCCAAGAGTGCTACGTATCAGAGCGACCAACGACACCTTAACGGGAACTACGCTCTATTCCTGACTACCTGCAAATTACCACCAGAGGAGGTAACATACAACGAAAAAGGGTGAGATATCAATAATATAACATAAAGCATGATAGAAAACATGTCAGAAACTCATCACAGCATTATAGGTTTCGAAATCATAAACATCATCGACAACAACTGCGAGTAATCCATATCTCACATAAACAACATTAACATACAACAAGCGTAATTATGCGACTCAACAATGCGACTCAACTGTGCACATGCATGTGGTACCATTTAGGAGCCATCACTCCAAAACTCGGGATAGGAGCCAACACCCCAAACCCATCTAGGAGCCAACACTCCAAAACTCGGGACAGGGCCAACACCCCGAACCCATCTAGGAGCCAACACTCCAAATAACGCCAATACAAGCACAACCGTCGCCAATCCAGGGCAAATGCTATGTCATGAAATGCATCTATTATGGGCTACAACACAACCATAGCAACCATATAACAAGGCATTACGCCTACAACCAGAATGTCCATAACAGAGCATCATAACATCATACCACTCATACAACCATCACTTTCTACCCGTTCACTTACGGGAACAATAACAACATAATTTCAACATTTACGACTGTTCATGTAAAGGAACATTACAACATCGTACCAACAAATAGGAACTCAAAGTGTTCATACAAAACGGCTATTCCTATACAGGTATAACATCAACATCAGTTCAACAATTAAGGACTCGAACATTACCGTAAGAGCACATCATAACCTTCACTTACTAAATTATATACAGAGCAATTCTCTTGTCCCATTAGGGCAATCGTACAACATTATATTAAAGTGACGATATAACACATTCATTCCTACATAGAAACCTTTTCCCTAACATTTATCGATTAACGAAACTATACCTATGACTCGATTCCTACATGAATTCGATCATACTCCCGGTTATAGAATTGAACCCCACCCTTACCTTAGAATTAAGGTCAATTCCACGCTCTCCGGTTCCGCTTCCGCTCTACGGTGACTTTTCTGCATAAATCCTCCAAATTCGCCGGTGGTTGATTCTTTGCTCTCAACTTCCCTCATTGCGTAACTTATCTTTTCAGTATTTCTTTTCCCCAAATGGTGTAATTGAGGGTAAAAGAGTCTACGGGAATGTATTTTTTGCTACCAACTCTCAGCCACGTCCAAATTCTGCATTTAACTGAATTTTATTACTATGACGGTCGTGGCAAGTCCATGACGAGCGTCACGGTCGTGACGATCGTGGAAAGTCCATGATGATCGTCATATCAGAAAAATTCAATTTTTTTTCTAGATAGAATATCTCTTTAGATTTCCAACTCTTCGAACGGGGGTCAAATCCGACTTACGGATCAAGAGATATGATTTTTCGAAGTTTCCTAAAACCGCTATGGAATTTTACACTTTTTCCCGACAATTCGACCGATTCAATTCCTTCCTTCGATCCAAACACATACTCAACTACGACTACGACGCGACGAGACATAGCAAAGTCATAATTGAATTTAATCAAAATAAAACGGGTGTTACAACTCTCCCCTACTTACAAGAATTTCGTCCTCGAAATTGCCTTAATCAAACAGCTCGAGATAAGACTCCTGCATCTTGCTCTCTAGTTCCCACGTCAAGCTTTCGCCAGCAGCTCCCAACCAGACCACTTTCACCAAAGCAATCTCTTTACCTCGTAACGTCTTCACCTCCCG